ATAGTACTAGCATAATGTGCTACCATACACAAATATATCATGTAACTTTCTCACAAAAACGAAGCTCTATACATATATTTTCTGACAAGTTGTGCTTGTAATTCATGCATAATTTGAACAACACACATTTACAGCTGCATTTCCAAATTCTTCATCATACCTACATATTTATTATGTTTGAAAGTATTTTGAGCCCCAGATAGACTATTGACCCTATAACTCTCCATGCAGGGTTGGTGGATTAAACTGACCTAGTAATACCAAAGTAACCATCAGAGTTTCCATACTATAACTCTTAATATGGTATGTGTATTATCATGAAATTTGGCAAGCTTTCACAAACATTACAAGACTTTTGTAAAAAACAAATATCAGATTTTTTAAATTAAGTATATTTACTAAAGATTTAATGATGAAAAAGTACAAAATAAATTTAATCTTCCCTTTTTTTTCTTTCTAGAATGACTACATATTGTAACAGTATACTACATTTGTTTATCTTAAACAGCTCCAATCTCATAACAGTGACATGTGCACATTAACCCATCTGTACCAAGAGGGATACCACATTTTACAGTATCTGCCATTGACACTGAGCAGATAGCATTTTGTGAAGCTTTGTTTAAAAAAAAACTAAATTACTAGTTTGTGTCTATCATAAATACAAATGGACAAGTATGATATGCACAAAGATACTTTTGAGGGGAATACATGTATAGCTCTAAACCCACCAGTATATGTATATTTTTTAAAGTATTATTATTATTATTACGAAATCATCTAGGTAAAATGATAACATTCAAAGTATCTCCAAATGATCATAATACTGGGAAACCTGTTACTGACACTTTGTCGAGAAAAAGTGATAAAATTATCTGAGTGAGGTGCTTATATATAGTAATAGGATAGAGGACAAATTGACGTGGAGTATCACAAGACAAATATTGCCAAGGGCAATTGAGTGGGGTATAAAAGACAGGAGCAAACAAGAAAACATCAGACCAATGCTAAGATGGGCAAAGAAGAAACTCTGATGGTTGATTAATAGCTATAAGTGTCAGCAGAGGTATGTATGTTTTGGAAATCACAGAAGGTGGGGCTTTGGGACTATGCAGCTCTATTTTTTTATTTACACTAATAGTTCTTTAGATTGGTTGTTTATTGCCATGACATAGACTACAGAACATCTCAACTATAGTAGTCCAAAAGGAAAACAACACAACAAATACAACACAATAGAAAATACAATGATTAAAGGAAAGGATAATTAGTCTATATTTCAATTATATAGTCTCAAACTACATTATTTATCCCATTGAATACAGAGTCTTGTAATGATCTAGTTTCTCCTGAATTTTCAACTGTCACCAGTCAAAGACAAACCAAAAATATAAATATTTAGTATAATTTCTATATATATATACACAGTGGGCCCACAGATCTTTCAAGATTTCTCTGTAGGGTGCTAGAACATCATTAAACCCTCTTTTAAATTTAATGCTTCTCTCCATTATGGGATCCATGTCTATAGCCATTTCTGTGAGCTCATCTTCCTTGCATAGGAAATTAGACACAGCCTTCGCTGTGAGGATGGGCATAGCAAGTTCTGTCACTCCAGAATCTTCATCACTGTCACTGGAGGCTATCAGTGCTTGAAGTTCTTCATTCATTGGCTCTTGGTAATGGGATTCCATCAGCTCAACCACCTCCTCATCCCTCATATTATCAAACCCCTCACCTCTGATTTCTTTAGCAAATCTCATGATATTGGCAACTTCCTTCTCAACCATCAGAAATCCCTTGAAATCATCCACGATATCAGGCCAAAGATGATGCCTGCATGCATTTATGGTTGACTATTTCACCTCGTCCCATGACATTTTGGTGATATCAATACAGTACTTAATGTA